CAGGCACGGTATCTGCATACAAGCGTCGTTGAACCGCTTGATATAACTTCGGATGGACTCTCATTCTCTTTGGGCTACGTTGAAGATGCTTTCTTCAGTCTGCGGGCACTGCTTGCTGGTGACAAAGTGGGACGTGAAGGCTTGTGCGAACTGCGCCCAGCTTCTTATCGATCCAGGCGCCAAGTTCCGGTACCACATGCATGCTGCTCCCCTGTAGGTAGTGGAGAAGGCCACGCACATGCATGACTCACTGGCTCGCGCCAGGTGCATCTGTGACTGAAAGACGTCTACATGATCATTCGGGTCGAACGACCCATCATACTTGTCAAGAGGAGGAAGCTTGAAATCCTTGGGCATTGGGACTGCCAAGAGTTCGGAGGACAGGGGGGACGGAACTAAGAGGAGTGGAGCCTTGGCTTCGGCCGAGCCTACCTCTTCTTTGCCCATGAGCTTGGGCAAATCACGGGTGACAGATCAGCGAGCTCGGCGGCGGCGTCTCTGCTTCTTGGTGGGCTCGGCGTTAGTGCTGCTCACCTCCACGCTGTCCATAATGGTTTGCGCTGGGAGCAGCCCGGTCTGCTGGTGATGGCCGCGGACAGAAGGGGCCTGCTTAGATTTTGCTGCCAGGATCTCAAACCGATTTTCAAGGATTGGGGTTCCGAACTTCGACTGTCGGGGCGACGTTGACCTGCCTCGCCGGGGTCCCCCCGACCTATCCATCCGCGGCGAGATCGAGGTAGCCGGTCTCTCCCGTCTGCCAAGGGGGGAGGTATGGTTTTTTGGGGGATTTTGGGGGGCTTCCCCTCGGCCGGAGTGCTCGCTCTGGCGGCGAGATTTGGCTTGCTGCGGGGCCAAGTGCTGAGGCTGGAGTTGAGGTTGGGGCAGCTGGGGGAACTGCTGCTGGTACTGGGAGACCTGGTGCAGCACGTGCTGTTGATAGAGCTGAAGTTGCTGGAACTGTTGCATTTGAGCCTGCATGGCCCTCATGCACTACATCAGGTCCTCCAGCTGGTTCGGGCTGGCCGCTAGGGGCGCAATCGAGGGTTCAGTGAATGTTGTTTCGACTGTAGCGGGGAGTGGGGCGATGACAGGTGCCATTGTGAGAGGCACGTTCAAGCTGGGAATTCCGTCCGCTGAGAGGGGGACGGTGAAGTGCCCGATACAGACAGTAGGAGACTGGGGTTGCTCCCTGGAGTTGCCCATTTCTATGCTTCGTCCGACGTTGCTAGGGGAAGCCATGAACGCTGAGTTGTGTTTAAGGAAGAAGAAGTAATTGAGAATTTAAAGGGGAAGGCCTTTTGAAGCGTATCCCACAGACGGCACCAAATGATGGGGCGCGATCCGGGCACTCCTAGCTGGCGACTGACTGGCTCCTCGCTGGCAACGACCGGCACCTGAGAAGATGAAAGGAAGGATTCCCGGGGAYTWGCCCRRTGGGAATACTCCGATGCTTAAGTTAGTACTGTGTATGGGGAGTAAAGAGAGAAACGAAAGCTAAGAGTGGAGGTCGCTCTTTATCACTATATTCCCGAGATTAGAGGTCTCAAGAGAGCCTTTCTCTTCTACCCTGGGGGGCTCTTATAGGAGTGCTCTTGCGAGATCTGGCATAACTGCCACTGGGTCCCTGCCACACCCGTTACTTGCCAAGGCTGCGCAGGTGGCCGTTGGAACGTACTCCTTACTCGGGCGAGTGACATCCCCAAAGTGACAGGCACGCCTCCGCCTACTGAGAGACGTGGGCACAGACTGTCGAAAGGACAGGGACTGTGCCATCAGTTAGGGATGTGGCCTAGTCTGACAGGTACTGCTTATTAACTAGAAGCTTCCTGAGGGAAGCTTGTGCGGCCCGTTCGTGAGCTACTCTGTAACGAACTTTGAATATTTCAGAAGTACCCTTAGTAGAATTGGTCCTCGGAATATCCCTTGGGGTAGCTCGNAAGTACCCTTAGTAGAATTGGTCCTCGGAATATCCCTTGGGGTAGCTCGAGGAACTCGGAGCTCGCATTGTGGCAAGCCCCTCCTTTACCTCGCTACCACGTAGCGGGCTGCTTTATGGGCCTATCACTTAACCGTATCGGAACACGATGCTGAGCTGTCGCTTACGCTGAGTCGACGTCCACGTGTCACCATTTCATAGGTCGGGTCAAATAATCTTTCATCAAGTATGATACCGAAAAGATGATACATGAAAAGATTATAAACAATCAATTGGTATTATATAAAGGTGATAACCAATCAATTAGTCAAAGTCTTCTCTGGTATCATGTCTAATGTCTTTCCAGTATTATAGATTTTTTTTTCATATAAATATCATGTATAAAATATAAAATATTTCTAAGAACAAATTTAAAAGCCCAAGGTGACCGGTCCTGGTCGGGGCTTGCCTAGAGTCTATTAGACTACTACTATAGACTGGGTCTGGCCCAAGGTTCAAATATGGTTACACTCAATACACAAATTGCATATATTCAAAGAGGCCATACACTTGGAAAACAAAAAGACTAACTTTTGAAAATTGAGGCAGGGGCCTCTTGAAGATGTATTATCCTTCAAAAGTGGTCAAATATACTATGGATCAATTTAGAAAGAGTACAAATGTAAATATGTAGAATATAAAACCTTATATTTTGTATGTATTTATATTATATATATATATTTGTATTTGTATTTTTTCCAAACTGAGCCTATCTATCAAAACCTAATATATTAATGGTCCTGAAAAATCGATACAATACGCCATCATTGTTCATTGGCATTTTTGAAGTGAAAGTAGAAGATTTGGATTTCAGTGGACCAACATTCCGAGATGAAAAACTTGAATTTGAAGTTGAAACTTGGTTGATATGGATGGGGAACGAACTCGCAGCCAATCCGTGGTGGCCTTTATCTATACGATGGTAGCTTAGGATTGGCTTCATTATCCCTTCATTTTTTGCATAATCTCTTTCACCCAAGGAAACTAAATAAAATCTTGAGACAAAAACCTTGGTTGATCCAATTTTAGCCATTCCGTTTCTTGCACAAAAGAAAAAAAAATGAAAATCATGAGATGTCTCGTTTACACTTTCCATGTTGAAAGAAGATAAGATTATGACTTCAAAACTTTAGAGAGACTCAACAAACACTAGAGATTCCAGAGCCTAGTTGCCAGGAGGCCCAGGACAAATGATCGATGGACCACCTTATGTAATAACCCAGGGTTGTTCCGATTCCGATCAAACAATCTTTCGATGACAGATTGCCACACCATAGGTCCTCCATTTCAAAAGTAATGGAATCCAGACTTCACGGCGGTCTGTGAGTCCGGATTCCAGAGCATGGTTTTTAAAACCGGATTGGACAAGAAAAACTGGGAACCGTTTAGGTGACCAGTTCCGTTTTTCCTTAAATCCGGGTATTTGCAAAAAATTGTTGATTTGGTCAATAAATTATTGACCTGGGCGGTTGAATCGTTCGAACCGTCCGACGGTTTTGACCATTTTTTATTTTTTTATTGTCAGATGGGACGATCATTCGACCCGAAAACCAGACCCTGACTGGTTCGTTCTCTGCATCAGTTTTAAAAACCTTGGTCCGGAGTCTAAATTCCAACAAAAAAAATCAATTTTATTGACTCGCTCGTATCTCTCTCCTTCCTTCTTTTCCCCTCTCCCTTTTCACTGCTAATTCAACCGCTACCTCTCCTCCATTTTCGTCTATTACCAGCTGGAGTTCATCGCCGCTGTATTACATTGTTTGGTGTTAGAGGGAGTCCGGATCTGCACTCACAACATATTCCAGCCGCACATGGAGAATTATCTCCCATTCTGGTTTATTATTTTTCATGGGATATTGTTCGCAATGCACGGTGGGATGTGATTGTAAGGTTGGTGTGAGGAAAGCTCTGTGAAGAGCAGATCCCTACAGGGAGTGGGCGAAAGAAAAAGGTTGTTTGTTGTTGGTGTGCCCTGCCTTTCTCTTCTTGACTTGATCTTCAATGTTTGACAAATAAACATTAATTTTGAAATAAAAGGGAAATTCTCTAAAACTCACCACTATGAGTTTTCGGCATTTCTCTTAAACTCACTACAACTTTTCAAAATGTCTAAAATTCACCCTGTCACTAATTTGACGTTAAATAGACTAATGGCGTTAATATATTACCATTTTAATATTTAGACATAAAAAATGGAAAATGTTCAAAAAAAATATTTTCAAATATAAAATACATAAAAACATAGAAATTACAAAAAATATAAAAATTCCAAACAAAATAAAAAAAAATATTTTCAAATTATAGAAACTATAGAAATTGAAAAACAAAATCAGAAAATAAAAATTATAGAAAAAATACCAAAAATTTATAGATTGTAGAAAATAGAAAAATGTAAAAAAACAGAAATTATAAAAAACATTGGAAATTATAACAAAACATTAAAATGTAAATAAAACAAGAAAATTGAAAGCTGAAAAAGATCATTTTTTCTCTAGCTCTCCATTTAAGAAGCATTAACGGTGCATTAACTGAAGGTGAGTTTTGAAAAATAAAAATTTAGTGAGTTTTAGACATTTTGAAAAATTGTGAATTTAAGAGAAATATTGAAAACTCATGATGAATTTTAGACAATTTCTCTAAATAAAAAGTAGCAAAAAAGCTATTGGATGATCCATCGGTTCAAAGGATGCGATCTCCCAAATGAACGGTTCAGATTCATTATTAGCATTTAGCCGCACACATTTAGATATAATATGGTAAGAATTATGGGTCCCTACAAATTTTGACGGGCTACTGCCATGGGTCCAAGCCCAACCGCGCTCGGATCTCCTACCCACCTCACCCCCACCTATATGACATCGCAGCCGTACATCGTGAATATCACGGATGGGTTGTTCCTGATGCACGGCTGTAGTATCATGCGGGTAGAATTCTCGTGGGTAGGAATGAAAAGCGGTGACTGGACACTATGACGTCACCTATTTACTCTCCTGACCCAAACCGTCGTATCCTTTGCAGGGAAAAAGAGATAAAATAAACGGAGAATCTCGTATTCGTTTCGGTCTCGCGGGAAAATGTGTTCCAGTTCCACCGGTCTTGCGTTTCTATAGATTTCGCCATCTTCCCGCCAAAAGTCTTACCGGAATTTGATCTCTGATGGCTTTGCTCTCTCCTTTGCTCGAAATTCCGCCCAAGATAATCTGCAAAACGAACCCTAGAAACGGTAAAAGATTCAGAAGCTCGTGCTATAATGAAAAGTTCGGAATTGGGGCTAACAGAGTTAGGGTTGCAGTCTGTGCGAGCACCAAGGATTGCGATGTTGGGGTTTCGGCTTTGGAAGAGGATCCGAAGTTTTCTCGGCAATTTTCTGCTCCGGTGAAGCGCGGTTCGTCATTGTCATCATTGCAGAATAAAGAGGAAGAAGAGAAGCAGAATTACTACGTCAATACGGGCTATGCGATTCGGACTCTCAGGGAGGAGTTTCCAGAACTATTTTACCGGGAGCCTAGTTTTGATATTTACAGGTTAATTTTGACTTAAATTTCTGTTATGGTTTAATACTCCTTTTCTTCTTCTTTTTTACTATGTTCAATACGCTTATCGAATGTTTGATAATTGAATGGATAAATCTGGGAGACTGGGAGATTAGTTGGATATTGGTTCCGGTTAGCAGCTGGTGACTGGTAAACTTTATTTAATCTAGGTGATCTGATTGATCATGCAATAGCGGAGTATCCATTGTATGCACCAAAAAATATATAAAGAAAGAGTATCCGCTGTTGGTTGGTTCTGGTCTTCTACACTGTCAAACTTTAGCAATTTCCCCTCGAAAAAATTTGTAGTTTCAAGCTTGAATCATTAAAACCTTCTCCTTTATGAACCTATCCCATTTAACGACGTGACTCATTGATGCGAACCCATAGATGTCGCAAATTTGTTTAGGATACCATGCCATCTAGAAACTAGTCTTGCTTGTATCGATTTTCTCTTAATCTCGGTTACAAGCTCATTCTTTTAAACTTTGTTGTGAATTATGTACGAACTTTTCCTCTTTTTATGTTCAAAATCAAAGCGTTAGTGATACTCCCTTGTATTGGTGTACCAAATGCAAGTGAATATTGTAAGTAAAAATCATAACATGGAGCCAACTAAAAACTTCAATCCCACTCAACACCAGTTGAATTTACTCAGCTGAAGATGCCAGAGGCAACTTTTATTAGTTAATTTCATATGCCTTCTCAAGGTTTCTTTATAAACTAAGGGGTGTTCTCAACTGTTAATTGTTTTTTCTTGTGGGTTCCAAAAGCAAATTAAAATCATCCGGTTTAATAACTTGTTTCTCAAACACACACACACACACAGAAAAACACGTTCTTGGTTGCATACCCCCCCACCCCACAAAGAAAAAAAAACAAAAAACAAAAAACAAAAGACACAATATTGAATTTCTGATTTAGAGTTCATCTGATGATCAATATCATGCTTCATAGACCATATAATATCTCTACTCCAAAGTTTGTTTTTGTTTTAGAAAGCATTATATTGATGATTTAAAAAACATGGATTGTTTTCTGCAACAAAACCGATTTGTTTTTGCTTCTCAAAGCAAAAACATAGTTCAATTCTGATGTGGAAATTTAAAAATCAAACAAAAACAAAAAAAAACATTCATGTTTAAGAATAGCCCTAAATTTGCAATGAATGCATGCGATCAACTATTAATAGACTAAGATTTAAGAGTCACCATTTTGACTTGTAAATCAGTGCTTGGTACAATTGGTGTTTTGGCATGAAACTCTGAGCAAACTATTTTATTGGGCATTTCAAACATGTAGTGCCACTAGTTACCACATATGACAAATGAAGAAGGAAAACCTTCCTGATTCAAGAAACACCACTTTGGTGATTCTTCCAATGCACCCTGTGTCTGAAACCTGATTTGAACAGTGGCGTTCCTGTTTCAAGTTTAATCTGTTTTACCAGATACACTTTTTGAATATTAAAGTCGAATTGCCTATGTGGCGCTGATGTGATAGCGTTTCAACCTGGAATGGGAACACTATACAAAATCTGTAAGGGACATGAGTGGATTCTATTGAGGCAAGTAGGCATGAAGATAAAAGCTTAGACATGGAAGTCTTTGACAATCTTGATATAAGAATAGTATCTCCATGGACCCACAGACAGGTAATAAGGGAAATAAGGAGGCTAGTGGGTGAGGTTGAGGCTACTTACAAATGGATCAATAGGCTAGCAAATGCAATGGCAGATTTACTTGCAAAGCAAGGGGTGCAAAGGGATCAGTTGTTTTGGGCTAATCTATTTTCGAAGTGTGGTTTGGCTTGGATTGCAAGCCTGCACTAAACATTTCCTTTAATTAATCAAAGTTCTCTGGTTATCTATCAAAAAAAAAAAGGAATAGTATCTCCGGCGTTCATAACATCAGATTTGTGATTTGCTAATTGTATGAATAGTTGTTATCTCTCCTATACATTTTTTTGGTAAGGTTAGAACAAGCTATTAGAGCCCTAAAGGTTCTGGCTGTGTTCTGCTTTGTTGTTTTATTAAGATTGCTGATATTGTGTCTTTGATAAGCCTTTGGTTGAGGTACCCAAGATGTCCTATTCTAACTGTAAGGTTCTAGCTTTTTGCATTTGTTCAGAAAACCTTAATTTCTCAAATAGGTAAAGAAGGAATGAGAGAACCTAACAAGCAAATTTTTTTCTTTGATCAATAACATAATTTCATTAGAAATATTAGTGATAAACTTTTTAAACTATCTTTTTTTTTTATCAATAACTTCGAAACTTTTATTGATTAAAATACTTTAGGATACAACAATAAGTTACAAAAGAAATCAGCATAGTAAGCTGACCCAGTACAGAATTACAAATGTGCCCAAAACATTTGAGCCTAAAACAATTGGTTCCTGCCCACCCTTGCTAGGACATCAGAAGGACCATTTGCTGTCCTTTTAACCCAACAAGCAAAGTTCTATGCTTTATAAGTGTGTTGTAGGGCAGTTAGTGGGGGGGGGGGGGTGTCTACAACTTTCTAATATGGCAGTGACCTTTGGAGAGACCTGGCTACAACTATAATTAACTAACTCAAACTTTTATTCATCAAATAAGCTCTCCTAATTCTAATTACAGTTTATCTATAAAAAAATAATTACAGTTGTTTTATTTATGACTCAATATAGGGCTTGGATCTCTCTTTACAAACTCCAAACCCAACTAGAAAATTGACTCGAAACAACTTTTAAGTTTTAATTTCTTTGGAACTAAGACAAAACCATTATCAATTAAAAAACAATGAAGAAATGCTAAGACAAACCCATTGGTAACCTGCAGGGATACTTAAGTAAGGATCTTAATTCCTAAGTGAATTCTAGTCACTTGTTACTAACCTTTGTAAACTAAAAATACCAAAACAACTACAAGAGAGACAAATTAATAAAAATTGGGTTTATGAATTGAAATCTTATTCTTGTCGGATAGATAACTCAATTACCTATCTAATGGCACCAAAATCATTCAAAAGGACAATTTTTTGCCCCAAAGAAATAGGCTGAATGATAAATGACCTCATCACAACATTAACTTTCAAAATTCTAAGCTCTCTAAAATCTCATCATAGACCGACACCTTATCACTAAAATGGCCATAACTCCTTCAATTATAAAATCTTCTTCTTGTTGGATAGATAAGTCAATTACCTATCTAATGACACCAAAATCATTCAAAAAAGGACAAATTTTGGCCCCAAATAAATAGGCTGAATGATTAGTGACCTCAGTACAATATTAAGTTTTCAAAATTCTGAACTCTCTACAAAAAGCACTCTAAACTATTATGATCATGTAAGATGATTTACTCTAATGGAGAAACTTGACTTTTTTCTTCTATGGTTTCCTTTCCTTCCTCCATGTCTGAACCAAGTTGTTATGCCATATGTAAGTCCACCATGATTTATTAGTGACCATGAGAACTATCTTACAAAATAATGTGTTGATCTCTTGCAACAAATTTGGTAATTTCAGTGTTTTAGAATTTTAGTATGTGGGCCAGTCCTCCATGAGCATTTTTTTGATATAATTGATTGTATCTTTTCATGATTTATTATTGAATAAAGTTAAATGAATGAAACAAGAGGAGGCGTAGATGTCATGAAAGCCCAAGCCCAAGTTGGTTAATTGACTAGAACTAAGGTTTATATTTGATTCTTCTAAGAAGCTTCAGTGGATGCATCTTCTGGAATTAGTTTCTATTTACTATAGCAACTAGTGGTTCAGGGAACTTCTCTGCCCAGAAGAGAAGCACTGGTAATCACTACAGTTGGGCCATTTTGAACAATTATAGAAAATCAGTTAAAAACTAGTAACGAAACAAATTCTGGTATGTCATTCTTGTTTTGTTTCCTGGGATGTAAAGAAGGGTATGGATCTCTTTAATCATTCAATCTAGAAGCCAGGAAATTTATGATTGGGATTTGTCTGTGTACAGAAGGATGCCTGAATTTTGTATGATGGAGTTGTTGAATCCATTATGGATATATGCTTTACTTGAAATTGATAATGTTCATTAGGAAATGAAGAGAAAAATACAAGGATCCCATGTTGGTTATGAAAAACTGTTTCTTATTTTGTTTTTGAGTTTCTGACTGAGTTAGTTCTCAGCTGAAGTTATGGTATAATATCATTTTCTTTTAATATTTTTTTTTTCTTGTTATAAACAAGAAAGATCATAAAAATCTGCTTCCACAGAATTAGTCAAAACATTTTTTCCTTTGGCTCCGGTTATGCAGCAAGAATGATGGAGATTTGGCATATGCATAATCCAATGACTATTTTTTTTGTGTCAGGTTAGATATAGTTCATACTCTGATGATTGCATATAGAGCAGTCCTACTCAGTCACATACTCAATGATGAGCCCTTTAATGTCGCACCAAATGGTGCTAGTATTGTAGTTATGATAATACTTAAGGTCACCCTGGAACCAATTTTACATGGATATGGACACGGGAGTTGGAATCTGATGCACATCCAGGAGTTTGACTTGGCTAGATGAGAAAACATGGACTTGCAGACATGTAAATGGAAAAGTCTAATATTAAAATACTTCTTTTTTTTTTAATTCTAACATTATATACCTACAAAAAAATGTTGCCTTTGTTACTTAAGTAATGTTTGATACAAAAAATTGGATTCATCTTATGGATTAGCTGTTCATTTATGCCAAATAATCTAATAAAAAGGAAGTATTATGTAAAAGTGTCTTCTGTCTCAACTTTCTCAAGTTGATGTCACAGACCTATCATGTAGACTAACAATTTCCTCTTTAGATGGCCACAACAGAATAGGCCAAACAGACCAGCTAACATGAATCTCATCCTGCTATCAAGAGCCATGTTTTCCGTCAAGTTACAAGTCTTTATGTCATTTTTTACCACTTTAGACCACATTTTATTTGGTCTTCGCCTAGCTCTTTCAGGAGAAGTTTCTTACCCAGAAAAGGGGGAAAAAACTTTGGTACTGGGGTACATCAGAATGAATTCCTTGAAGTAAATTGCTTTACATTGAACAAATTAAAACTATCAGGTTGTTAGCTGGTCTGTTTGGCCTATTCTGTTGTGGCCATCTAAAGAGGAAATTGGTACTGGGGTACATCAGAGAAGGGGGAAAAACTTTGGTACTGGGGTACATCAGAATGAATTCCTTTAGCATTTGATGTTTCAATATTCATTGTAAACTCCATGCCTCTATTAATGCAAGAGAAGGACTTGGGCTCTGTTTAGATTAATGCAGAATTTGGGATAGAAACAGAATTGAATTCTTCCCAGTCCTAAATTCTATAATATAAAATTGAAAACCCCTAGAGAAAGAAACTATGTTGGATGTTACCTTTGTAACCATTTGATCAACCACTAGAGATTCCCCAGGTCTGAATCTGATATAGGTCTCACCCCTTGTAGTAAGAGTTCAAATTCAACTGCTGAAGCCTCTACCATTGATAAACCGTCTGATCTCTTAACAAGTATCTATAATCTCTTAACTGCTCAGCCAACCCCATATAGTTGGTACAAGGCATGGATGATGATGATCATTGAAATATGATGAACCACTATACAACATGATTTTCACCCCCATTTTGGGGTTTTTCATCTAATGTATTTTACTCCATTTCTACAGGGATGATATTGTCTTCAAAGATCCCTTCAATGCCTTCATTGGCATAGAGAACTACAAGGCAATCTTCTGGGCTCTACGGTTTCATGGCAAGATATTCTTCAAGGCCTTGTGGGTTGATATTCTTAGCGTGTGGCAGCCTATTGATAGTGTGATAATGGTTCGTTGGACTGTCCAAGGCATTCCTCGTGTCCCTTGGGAAAGCCGTGGCCGTTTTGATGGCACTTCCGAATACAAGCTTGATAAGAATGGGAAAATCTTTGAGCATCGTGTTGACAACATCATTCCCAACTCACCCACAAAGTTCCCGGTTATGGCTGTGGAGGAATTGATCCAAGTCCTTGGCTGCCCTTCTACTCCAAAGCCTACATATTTTGAGATCTCATCCTCTCCCCCTTCCACTTCTTGTCAGGTTTGTCAGGATGAAGAGTCATCTAGCTTTCAACATTAATCTTGCTTTGAGAGGTGTTATGGGGTCTCGAAAGACAAGGTTGCTGATAGGGTTATCAAATTTTGGTTTATACTGTAATATGGTGGAGAAATTGAGCTTTGGATCATTATCATCTTCAACAAACGTCTTATCAGTGTTTGGGAACTTTTCCTAAGTTCATTTCACCTAGCCCTGACTTTGGAGTTGATCTAGAGAATTTGGCTACAAATTGTCCATGATAGACTGAGAATGAACTTCAGTAACAAAGATCATAGTGCCAACTGAGTTTATTTTGGTCAGGTTCCCACTTGGAACATTTGAACTCTTTATATATAGTTGTATACCGTATATTTTGTAATACATGTATAATAACTTCTCTGTGCATACCTAATAAAGCTGTTGTCTGGTATTTTCTTGATATTTTGCTCCTTTTATCTCTTTTGGTCCCCTGTTTTTAAGAAAAAAAAGAATTCGTTCCTTTATTAGAAAAATCTAAAAGATATCTGGGGTCTGGGGCAGAGATAGAACCCTCTTACCAGTAATTTAGAATATACGATCATCCAGAACATGAAAGAAGATGTATGGTCTCTACAGCATTCTCTTGGCATAGAGAATTTTTGGATTAGAAATGCTACAATGCTCCTTTGGATTGTATTTTTGAGATGTAAAGACGATAGAGCCTGTTAGATAATTTTTCAAATCCGGTCCATATAACTTCTACTACTCTGCATCAACCAAGAAGAAACGAAGATAACAAAACCGAAGAAGGTTCTGCAAGGCCTAAAGTTCTCATGCTCAACTTGGACGCTGGGGAAGTTTCAAATGAATGAATGATCCACGGTGTGAAGGTCTAAGAGTAAATTATATACAATTTTATATGCAGAATATCCATCTATTTCTTTGCTCCAGTTCGGTTTGAAAGCTCGAAAATGAATATATTTTTATATTTCATAAATATATAGAATATATTCTTATATTATATATAAAATATAAAAATGTATGTTTTACATGAAAATATATTTTTATAATATATTAAATTAACATCAAACTTAAGTGAGTCGAGCTATTCGAGTGGACCTCTCCTGCTAGAGTAGAGGAGGACCTGAGTAGGGATTTAAGCGAGTCGAGCTATTCGAGCTTAGCTTGCTAAATCAAGTTTGAATCGAGTAGTTAATCAAGTTCAAGCATCATGATACCTAACCTAGCATGAGCAACTCGTGAGCCTAATTGAATATATAATAAAATATGGATTTTTAATATTTTTATTTATAGTATAATTATTATATATTTATTTAATATATAGTAATTTTTAATTGAATTTGAGCAGGGAAACTTAAAATTCAATCGAGCTTGAGTTGAATTCCGAGTTGTGAGCTTTTGAGTTGAGTTGAACTTGAGTAACCTGTTAGGATTAAAGTCTTGGGCCCATGTGCGGTTTAGCCACATGGCCCACTTGTAGTTTGGTCGGCTAGTGGCGTGCTGTCGTAGGCACCCAAAAATAAAACCTATACTCGTAAAAATTAAATGCAGTAGTGCGAGTAAGGATCGTTCCCACAGAGAGTATCTAACATAATTTATGTGCTGCGTGAACAAAGATGGAGGGGGATTGAATGTAACGAAAACCAGAAATAAACGAAAGAAAATCAGAATTAAAAAGAACGAAATTTAAATGGAAACAAGGTGATTCAGAGTGTTGAGACTAATCAAAAGAACGAATCTTGGTTTAGGATAACATCCACCATCAGAATTTCACTACTGGTCATCGATGCAAAAATAAATCAATACAGACTTTGAATATTCATCGTAGGAATTGGTTTCCTATATCTCCCTATCATAGTTAATAAGAAAACAAGCGATCCTCTTAACCCTTACTACTGAACAACCCCTACACAAGTGTTAAAGATTTAATTCAACAATGATTTAATCCAGCAATAGCCTTAACTGATGATGCACAATCCGGCCGATCTTAGCTGTCAACGATCTTGCCTCTGAATTGAGTGGCAGGGGACCTGAAACGGAGGGAGTGAAGATGCTCC